CGCGTTTACGCGCGTTTGTTTTAGCTAGTTGCAAATTAAAAAAATAAGTTTTTTTTACTCCTGTATGTTAAAAAATAAAAAAGATTATTTTTGAACATATTTCAAAGCAAGAATGTCAGTAAAGTAAGGGAAATGTCAGGAAAAAATTTTGTCGGGGAAATTAAAAAAATTGTGACTTTTTTCGACTCATTTAAAATAATTGCGTCAAAATACCACAATTTTTAGTTAAAAAAAAGTACAAGTTATTTTGATTTTTATAATGCGAAAAATAACTATAATCAGGGTGGCCGCTGGACCGGAAAACCGGGAAATGACAATGAATTTTGAACTTGACCGGGATTTTGGATTTTTTTTAAAAACACACATTATTTTGTGAGAAAAAATAAAAATATTTATTTCAAGACTTAGGTATTAACTATATTTCATTAAAAAAGATTGAACGATCTTCTTTAAAATCTATTTATATTTTGTCAGAGAATTTTATAAAAAGTACTATAAAAATATTCAATTTCTAGAATTTATAAGAAAATTATGAATTTTGCTGTCCAACGTAACAGATTTAGAAAAAGAAAATATTAAATTTAATTTTAAATTCTTTCTATTTCTAACAATAATTAAACAAAATATAATTTTAATTAAACTTGTCAAAAAAATTTCAATGAGAAAAAATTTCACATCGTATAGAATAGTGAAAAATAAATCAATTTAAAAATTTTTTTGCAATAATATTATAACAAAACAAATAAAAATTATTAAAAATTTGAACTAATTAGAACAAAAGTGATACGAAATTTATAAAAATTAATTTTAGAATAATAAATAATGTATATAAAAATAAATAAAATTTCTTTTTTTAGAAAATAAATTTTTAAAAAATCGTATTTTGCATTAATATCAATTAGTTTTTTTTGCAATTATTGATAAGCAAACTTTTCTGTATTTTAGAATGTTAAATTAATAATTATTATAGATTGAATTTTAAAAAATTTCAAATTTAAGTTTTAGAAAAGTTGAATTTTAAAAGATTTTAATTAAAAATTCTGAATAAGTCAGTTTTTAAAAATATTTTTATTCACATTTTTTCAAATTAGTTATGTTTTTAAATATGTACCTAATATTTAATTGAAAAATTTTTAAATTATTCAAAATTTCATGAAATTGTCTTGTAAACAAGTGGATTTTAGAAATATTTTAGTTATTTCTAGAATATAATTGAATTGAAATTTTGAAAATAATTGTTAATAAGTTACAGTAGCAATTCTTAAAAATTATTCAAATTTAAAGAATTTAAAATTTGATTTTTTTTAAAATTTGAATACCTACTATATGGAAAAATAATGGATAATAATTAAATATTTATTTCAAAAAATCTATTTAAGTTCAAAATTATTTTTAGAGTAAACTAAAATATTTTTAGGTTTTAGGAAAAAGTCAAAGTTTTGTCTAAAAATCAGGAAATTCTTTCAATCTTTCATGGAATAATTTATTTTCAGAGTTATTATTTATGACCGGGAAAAATAATTTATGACCGGGAAATGACCGTGAATTTTTTTTTACAAAAAAATGGCCACCCTGTATAAACAAATCTTTTTGAATAGTTGAAATTTTGTAAAATTTAATTGAAAATAATTAATTTATTTTAAGTCTTTCGTTACAATTTTTGTAGAATAAAAAATCTTTAAAGGTAAATTTAAAAATGAAAATTAATGAAAATTAGCTTCTAATTTTTTAAAATTCAATATTCTCAATTACATATTTTCAAAAATTCAAATATATACAAAAAAATAACATTTTAAAATTATTTTTAACATTTTAGAGGAAACAATCATGTTAAAAATTTTTAATTAAAATTTATCAATCAAATTCAAAAATAATTTAAAAATATAACAGAATTTTAGAAGAACTTTCGGAAAATTATTTAAATTAATTGATTCAAAGACGAAGGTTTAGTTGCCCAGTAAAAAAAAGTATTGGAAGAGAGCGAATAGTATTGGCGGTGAGTTTCTGCCAATATGTTTTCGCGTGAAAACCGTATTGGCAGAAACTCACCGACAATACTATTCGCTCTCTTCCAATACTTTTTTTTACTGGGTGGAAATTGTAGAAAATAATTGAATTCAGGAAGGGTTATAATTGTCATTTTAAAAAATAATTAAAATCATAAATGTTACTCATTTTCCGTAAACATTCATATTTTCCTGTAAAAAGAATTTTGTCAGGGAAATTAATTTTAATATCAGTAAATTGTCAGGGAAATTGATTAACTGAAACTTATGATCATTCTGATTAAGCTTAAGATATATTTTTTGGAAATATCTTTGATTATATGTCCACGTTGACATTTGCTTTAACACCCCCCCTCCCCTTCATGGACAAACGTGGACTTTTGATTCCCCCCCCCGCCCCCCAAATGTGTCCACGTGGTTTATGGACGGCCCCTTACTTACTTTTTAAATATTTCAATTATTAAAAATAATAATTAAATTATTGTCATTAAATTAGAGAGAGAGAAAGAGATGACTTGCTCAGTATATAAACACAGTTTTAGATTCAACGGCTTTTGTCATTTTCGTCGATACCACATCTGGTTTTGGCAAATGACGGAATGCAAATTCTAGTTTTGGCAATTTAAAACGGCCAATGGTCGATGTAAATCTGCCACAACTAGTTTTGTCAAAACTGCTTAGGCCAAAACTAGGTTTCGTTCCAAATCACTCTACAAGTCACAATTTTTTGCCAAAACGATTTTTCTTTTTTTCTAAATCTTTGTAATTAAGTTTTTTATCGATCTCTCGAGCCCGGTTTTAAAATTTTGTTTTTAAACATTTTTTTAATAACAATAAGTTTTAAAAAAATCATAAAATCGTAAAATATATTTTTTTCAGCTTCAATCATTCAGAAAATTAATCAAAAAACCTATTAAAAGAATGTTTTCAATTTCTAACCTTAAGTACAGTTTAGGAAAGAAATAACAATTAATTGTTTAAACAATTTAATAAATTGGTATACTTTTGTTATACATCAGAAACATTTAAACATCCTTTTAATAGGTTTTTTGATTAATTTTCTGAATGATTGAAGCTGGAAAAAATATATTTTACGATTTTATGATTTTTTTAAAATTTATTGTTATTAAAAAAATGTTTAAAAACAAAATTTCAAAACCGGGCTCCAGAGATCGATAAAAAACTTAATTACGAAGATTTAGAAAAAAAGAAAAATCGTTTTGGCAACAAATTGTGACTTGTAGAGTGATTTGGAACGATACTTGCGCCGCCATAAGCGAATACATGCACGAGTCCCGGCATGCCGCGCTGGACATTTTATTTTTTTTCTCGTAAAGTTACTGTTGTCCCATAATTAAATTTATAGGAAGTATTCTTGACTTTATAGACAATAACTACAAAAAAAAATTCAAATCAAAGAGGTATTTTTTTCAAAATTTTGATTCAAAAAATTTTTTTAAAATTTTTTCGGGCAAAAAAAATTTTTTTTTTCTTTTTATTTTTTTCTTTAAAGTGCTTCTTATTATGAGCATTTTCCAAAAAAAATTATCTTAATCGGTTAACAAAGAAAAAAGTTATGTGCCTTTTTTGAAAAACCGACCAAAATTTTGAGTAAGCGGTAACTCAAAAAATTTTGAAAAAACTTTTATACATTTTTATTCCATGTATATAAGGGAACAAATTCGGTAAGTATTATTAATATTGCTAAAATCATCGAAAATTTTTCAGATCACTTCCCGTGGAATTGCTCCTTAGTTTTCTTAATTTCAACATTTTTTTACACGAATTTGTTTTTTCTTGTCCCTTTAAATTTTCATGCGCGTTTAATTTTAAGATAATTTCTGAAAAAAATTATTAAAAAGCAATTTACCTTTATGCGATAATTATCGAAGTAGTGATTGAATATCATTTTTTCGGCTCTAATACCTATTGGTATTGTTAACACTGCATTTTTTAACTCGTCAAGTGTTTTTAAAATTTCAAGTTTACTCGAAACTGACTTGTTATCGTAATTGTCGTACAAATTTATCGAACCGTTTGGAAAGTACGCGATTTTTACCGCTTTGCTTATCATTAAATTATTAGGAATTTTTACTCCTGTTTGCAAAACTAAATTAAAATCCTTTACTTTATCCTACATGTCAGAAATCATTGTAAATGGAGGGTCTCTTGAATTTTTTATTAATTCAAAATATTCCTCCGCCGTTTCAATGATTTCCACTTACTTTTTTTACTGCTATACAATTTAAAGTTTCGGTCACACTGGCAGTATGAATGCCCGCGAACTGGATATAAATGGACAACTTCTACCTGAATATGTACTGACAGTAATGAGAGGAAAGAAAAAAGCAAATAATTTTTATTTTGCCCTCCACAGGAATCGGAAAATAAATATATTTTGTCATAATAAGCCAACTTAAATTCGTTTTCTATTACATGCAATAAAAAATTCTAGGTAGTATTTCCCCCTTTTTTAAAAACCCTTCAAAAAATGTGAACATGTAACTTCGCTCATTACTGTCATTAAAAGTATGAAAATTAAAAATGTGTAACCACAAAAGACGCTTGTTAAATTGTTCTGAGACAGACAATTTGGACAAAGCTAGATTTTGTCCATAATCGAATTCGCAGCATAATCGATTTTTCTCTGATAACATTTTTTTTTCATTTCTGAATTGTACAATTTCTTTAAAGTAAGGTCTAAATGGTCAAAGTAATTCAGATTCGAGGAATCTCGTTTATAATGCGACTGCGAATGAGGTATTGATTGGCAATGTTGATGAATCAATGTCTTAATTTCTTCTGTTAATTTTGAAAAATGATTTTCGTGTCGACCTCTATTGTCATTAAGTTGGTCATTGCTGATCATTTTTTTTGCACAGTTGTAAATCTGCCTATGTTGATTTGCATTAATTGACATAAAAATTTCTGACAAACTAAAGCGGATCCTGTAATGCAATGAAATCGATATTCCCAGTATTTAATCTTCCCTACCTTTTCAATACGAGCTTTCAGCGTCATCATTCTACTTAAAGTTGCATTTCAGCATTTTGCACATGATAATCTCCAGATTCCCAAAACGACAAAAACAATCTTTCTGTTGCTGATTTGTGTAACACTCTTTCTTGCAACACTGCGAAACTTCTTCAAATAATTTGGCTTCAATTCTCTTTCCCGACATCGAAATGTATTCTTCTCCCTATGCAATAATATGAATAAATATTTTATTATTACTCTAATACATATTAAATATTTTGCAACTACAAATTACGTCACTAATAAAATATCAATCAGTAAATTTTTTTTGTATAAAAAATTTTTTTTTTAATTTAAAAGGTCGAATCAAATTGAGTACTTGAAAATTTCGAGTACTCGATACATCGAGCTCGGCTCGGCACAAAAAAATTGCGGGTCGGCTCGGCTATTCGAGCTTTTTGCACACCTCTACAAATTTTAAAAAAGTGTTTAATTGTTGTTTTTAGGAAGATATACATAATAGTGCGTAATTATATACGGAAAACGAAGCTTATTGACAAAGAGATTGATGGTCGTCTAAAGAAAATTGGTTAAACCTCTGATTCTAGTTCAGATGACTTTTAACACAATAATTAAAATTCAGAAAATGTTCAATACATATTTTTAACACTTGAGATATCAATATTGAATAGTCTAAATCCAATAGAATAAAGAAAACGAAAAGGTCTTACCTAACTATTCTTGCCCAATCCTCCACTATTATTTGAATTTAAAGCTTGAAAAATCTGAATTTAAATGCTATGTTTTAATCATTAATTATGTTTGTTAGAAAAACACTGTTTGAAGAAAAAGGAGTTGCACATTTTACAAAATAAATGTGTTCTGAATTCATAACTTTCTGAAGAGCAATATTTTCTGTTGTTAAATTTGAACACGTTTATTTTGTAAAATGTGCACTGCCTATTTTTGCAAGCAGTGATTTACAAATAAACATAACACAGCCACACAAAAAAAATAAAGTTTCTTGATCTGAGGTCGAGACATATGTATTCCGATGTATTTCGATGCGCTGAATCCGAATCCGCCATCAGAATTTGGCCAATGGGTCCTGGTTTCGCCCTAACCTCAAAAAATGCCCTAAAATCGCTAAAATGGTCACTTTTGATTTATCAAAATTGAATCTAACCGCATGTTGATAATATTCTAAGATCCCTTAATTTAAATTAACTATTCTATAAGCTTTTCAATTGAAAATTCCTATAAAACATTAAATCTATCGAACCTAATCTCAAAAACACATCTAAGATTCCAAACAAACAAATTATACCATACACAGCACAATAAAAATTATGTAAGCTCATGAAAGTTACAACTTAGGTGTTTTTATGATTGCTGATTACGAATCCGGTGTTAGTTTATCAAAATTCAAAATGGCGGATCCAATATGGCGAACAATATAATTAAAATTTGTTTGGATTGGCTTAAAAATCGTTACTCGGGGGTTTTCGGGGTCGCTGATGACGAATCCCATGTCGGTTTCTAAAAATTCAAAATGTCAGATCCAATATGGCGGTCTTTATTATTTTAACGATTATTTTAAATTTATTACTCGCGGAATTTTTCGGGACATTAGATAACGAATCGTATATAAATTTTTATAATCTTAAAGTCTTACGAATTGTTAGAAAACAATTATTAGAAATTTAGTGAAATGGAAATTTTTTGACAAAAAAATTTTTGTACCCGGTTGTAGGCACCCTTGAAAAATCCGCTAAAAATGGAAAAATATTAAAAGAAACCAACACAAATAAAGAAGAAATAAAAGTTTATTTATTTTAAGAGACTTCGCCGGAATAAAGAACAAAAATGATGACACGTTTTCACACTATGCTCATCGCTAACAGAAGCATAATGCTAGCATGTGAAGTAGCTGGCCCGCATATCATAACGCACTTCTAATGCACTGAACGACTATATTCATCGCATTTAATGGAGTTTTCGGCTGTCAATTTCCTTGGCAGAAAGTTTAGATAGATGAGTCAGTAGTCCACATCATTGTCAGTTGGTAGAGCCTCCTTAACATAAAGGTGCCCACAACCGGGAATGACAGTCATTTTTTAAAAAGACTGATGCAGGATTTTGGTTAAACACGAAGGTAAATCACAAAATATAATGACAACACTGCAAAAAAAAATTAAACCCTTTTTTCTGAACGAATCTACAGATTCTACACCCATATGTTGCTCTTTGAAAACAATATAAAATTACTCTTCTATTTATTTAATGCAAATTTTCTTTATTATGCTCTCAGCTATTACACGAATGCATATATTTGTTTCGTTATTAATACAAAAAGTCCGTATTGTCAACGAACACGACTAGCAATACTTAGATCAGTAAAGTCTGCTTGCCGTCGAAGTTTACGTAGAGGTGCCCACAACTGGCGCACTTCAGCTAATAAATTTAAAATAATCGTTAAAATAATAAAGACCGTCATATTGGATCAGCCATTTTGAATTTTTAAGAACCGACATGGGATTCGTCATCAGCGGCCCCGAAAAACCCCGAGTAACGATTTTCAAGTCAATCCAAACAAATTTTAATTATATTGTTCGCCATATTGGATCCGCCATTTTGAATTTTGATAAACTAACACCGGATTCGTAATCAGCAATCATAAAAACACCTAAGTTGTAACTTTCATGAGCATACATAATTTTTATTGTGCCGTGCATGGTATAATTTGTTTGTTTGGAATCTTAGATATGTTTTTGAGGTTAGGTTCGATAGATTTAATGTTTTATAGGAATTTTTAATTGAAAAGCTTATAGAATAGTTTATTTAAATTAAGGGATCTTAGAAAATTATCAACATGCGGTTAGATTCAATTTCGATAAATCAAAAGTGACCATTTTAGCGATTTTAGGGTATTTTTTGAGGTTAGGGCGAAACCAGGACCCATTGGCCAAATTCTGATGGCGGATTCGGATTCAGCGCATCGAAATACATCGGAATACATATGTCTCGGCCCCAGATCAAGACACTTTATTTTTTTTGTGTGGCTGTGTAATTAAAGGTTAAAAAGCTTTTAAATTTAGCTTTTTAAGATTTAAATGTATATATTATATATATATATTTTGAATTTTGAAAATTGAACATTAGATTCGTAATCAGCGACCCCAAAAACCACCAAACAACAAGTTTCAAGCGAATTTAATGAGTTTTTAGAAAAATTGTCCGCCTTATTGTATCCGCCATTTTGAATTTTGAAAACTGGACTTCAGATTCGTGATCAGCGACCCCTAATACCTCCGAGTAACAAGTTTCAAGCTAATATAAACACTTTTAACACCTTTTGTACTTTCGGGTGAAATTTTGCAAAAAAAATTGAACTTTAGAAATTGTTGATTTTTTATAATGCCATTCGATAGAACGCATATGAAAACATAAGAAATTATGATTGATGAATTTTTCTATTGATTTTTAAGTACCGAAATAAGTCATCAAACTTCATGACAAAATTTTGTACGTTTGGGCGTTAAACGGTTAAGCAAATTATTACTATTATGAACTGTAATGTTTACGGTTATTGGGTCGCTAAATACGAATCTGATGTCAGATTTAAAAAATTTAAAATATCGGATCCAATATGGCGGACATACAGTTTTTTAAATTAATCGTTTTTAAAGAAAATTAATATCTACACCGGTGCGATTTTTTGGTCGGCCCATAGTTGGGCCAACTTTTACAAAGTCGGTCCAACTTCTCGTGCCAGAGGTTGGGCCAACCATACAGATGATAACGGTTCGCCGTCTAATGGCGACGATGGTTGGCACGACAACTCAGAAGGAAGTTGGCCCAACTTAAAATGCATATGTTGTGCCAACTATAGATTTCAATGGTTGGTCCAAAGACTGACGCCAAAGTTGGCACAACTTTAGATGCGCAAGTTGGATCAACCACAATTTTTAAAGTTTGGTCAACTTCAACAGCCAAAGGTAAAAAATTATTAAAAAACTAAATTATTTAAACAATTAACACGTTATTATTAGCAGGAACATCAGATATAACCTTTACCTATTATTATTAAACACAATCTCATACATGGGAGTACATAACGTTAAATGTATATTAAAGCTGCAACAGTCGGGCCTACCGTGGCCCAGAGTTTGGCCGACCCAGAAAGTATAAGTCAATTAAACTGCATTTGACAAAGTTTTGCCAACCGTGGCAAAGAGTCCGGTCGTCCAAAATAATGTAAGTCAATTAAACTAAAATTCACAGAGTTCTGAAAACAGTCGGGCCAACCGTGGTCCAGAGTTCGGCCGACCAAAATAATGTAAGTCAATTAAACTGCGTTTCACAAAGTTTTGCCAACCGTCGGGCCAACCGTGGCCCAGAGTTCGTCCAACCAAGAAAGTTTAAGTCATTTAAACTGCATTTGACAAAGTTTTGCCAACCGTTGAACCAACCGTGGCCCAGAGTTCGGCCGTCCAAAATAATGTAAGTCAATGAAACTGCAATTTACAGAGTTCTGACAACAGTCGGGCCATCCGTGGCCCAGAATTCGGCCGACCAAGAAAGTTTAAGTAATTTAAATTGCATTTGACAAAGTTTTGACAACCGTGGCCCAGAGTTCGGCCGACCAAAATAATTAAACTGCGTTTCACAAAGTTTTGCCAACCGTCGGGCCAACCGTGGCCCAGAGTTCGGCCGACCAAGAAAGTTTAAGTCAGTGAATCTGCGTTTCTTGAGTTTTGCCAACAGTTCAGCCAACCGAAACTGAAAGTCTTTTAAACTACGTTTGGATGAATTGTGCCAACCTTTGTAGCCAAAGTTGGCCGACGGTTGGTTAAACTCTGCATGTAACGGTTGGCTTGCAAAGTCGGGCCAACTGTGGGCACTAGTACTTGCCAAAGTTGGGCAAACTCTGGCAACCAAAACTTCGCTTGCCAAAGTTAGGCCAACCTTGGGCCAACCTTCAAACTCTGGCGGCCATCCCAAATTCGCACCTGGGTAGGGATTTTTTGAGTCGCCCACGGTTTTAGGTCGCCCATGGAAATAAAAGCAGAATCTCCAAAAGAACTACGTGCGCACTATATAACTACGCGGTAAACTATACCTATATGTAAACCTCAGGTGCACACGCAATCCTATGCTTTCATACTCTCTAAATTTAAATAAGCGAAATTTCACTGTTTCA